GATTCTGAAATAATCTTCATTCTTGAAGAAATGATAATCTCATCCAATCACATTATATTCCATTGAATCTTACGGTTTTCCTGAATTATTTCAGCGAATAGTTGGCCATGGTTGGCCATGATACAATACGATAATCTAAGGATAACCTGTCAGTTCACCACATATTTCACATACTATTGAACTTGTCTTTCTGTGCATTAACAAATATATGTAATTATACTCTTACAATAGCAAACCGTTTGAATGTGAGCATGACACAATAAAACTAAAGAATGGTCTATCTTACAGGGCATATGCATTATTTGAGATAGTTTTAAAGAATATATAAGTCACATGTAGAGAGCCTATATCTTCATCAAATTTTTCATATAAATTACACGAAAGAGTACTTTTTTCCCTTCCTTACGTTTGACAACTTTTATTTGTAAAGCAATTTTATGTAAAATCGATATATATATTACTTAAAAATGATGGAAATTACGTGCAAAGCCATCATATTTTAATAATGATAATAATTGATATATTGATTACCGATGGCACTGCAGAACAATTAAGAAAAAGCATTCTCATTTGAGATAGCTGATGATTAATTGTTAATTAATTGACAATTTGTTCCAGAGCCGTCCTACAAAAGAACAAAATATCTTGTTTAAGCACAAGAATTGTTGTTCAGGATTTTATATACAGTTTTGATCAGAATTATATTTCAATAAAATATACTCGGAGAACAACTAAGATAATGTATACAAATTGAATAGGATATTAACATAAATATAGAATACCCATAATCATTTATATTAACCAAACATAACGCAAAAGTAAACGTAAAGGGGGTCTATAATTCTTAGTTACAGAATATCAATGGCATTTACCAATGGTGCGCCTTGCACTTTATATTACATCTGGAGGGAGAAAGGAGAAATATTAGTTCCTACTCTGAAAATATACGTAGGATATTTGACATTTGATATAGAAATATTGTTGGTATGGCCTCTAACTCCTATACGTTCAACCTTTAAATAAAAGAAATAGGTTATAAACTCATCCTTAGATTTGAAATGTATTTTCAAAGAAATAACTTCCGTCATAACTTATGTGGATAAATATCTTATTGTTGATTTCATAAACACTCTATATGTAAGTATCTTGATATAGCGCTTATAGATCTCCTTACTAAATCAAGTACTTGATTCTAGAACAATGCCTTTGATGGCACCAAATACAATATATATTTTTATCTTATTCGTGATGCCTAAAAGCATAAACAAATAAATTCGTGAGCAAATCTATTTGGTATTTTGGCATACCTTGGCATATTGTTTACTAGAAAAATACTTTATACTCTTGAATTAACATCGAAATTATCTAAATTATGTTTATTGTACTGCATGTTTAAAAAATCGTTTATATATGGAACATTTGACAGTCGCACCTAACCATATTTAGTGATAAAATATCAACATGTCAATTTATTACATATTTTATTCACCTACATGTCTGAATATTTCATGGGTAATCAATTGAAGTGAATTGGCAGAACTACCTTCCCAAAATGAAACATACATTAATGCATGCAATATATCAATGTTAGCAAATTTAAATAATATATTATGTATCACCCACCCTCAGCAAATCTTCAACAAAATGCACAGCCGTAGACAATATATGCATTGGTATGGGCCACCAGCCTTTAGCAACAATATTTACATTATAATACCATTTCATGACTGATGCCAGTATTATACATATTATTATAAAATATACTTTCACAACAATAAGTCCGATGTTATGTTGACTAAGAACATAAAAAACAGCGGGCAACCTCCATGTTATACAATGTTTGTAAATATAGTTTGGAATGAAATATGATATAATGTTATTTCCTAACATGAAACACGTCTTAACAAAAAAAAAAACCCCTATAAAATAGAAAAATCGTCGAAAACGACAAAATTGAAACTTATGCAGACTCAATTTGATTCAGTCTGTTCATGGAAGGTGCTGGAATAATACTTTATCTATCATCTGTAACGGTTCATATCGGAATGTCTTCGGTTACCGAAGGAGCAGATATTCTGAACTGAACAGCAAACACATGATACTTTTCTCGCATATTCTGCCATATTTTACCACATCAACTATGGTTTACTTCAATAACATATTTTAATTCGTAACTATTTTCTTACAATAGTGTATGAATTTACGGCGAAATGACGTCATCCTATGCATTCTTAAATGCACCAAATTGACGTCATTTTTACGCAATTCATTTATAAAATGCGCTAAAATGACGTCTTTGCACAGGTCGCGACTCAACTTGCACGCTGATAGAATTTTAGACATTGATAAAACTAACCAAAATACAAGTCTAATATGCAAGAAAGTGCAAGCTAACGTCGACACCCTTTTCAACAGACTCATAGAATCTAAAATTTAGCAAGAAATGGATTTTTTTTTGTAAATCCAAACATCCGTAGATGTGTTTATACGACTATGATATAATAAAACTTTAAGTCATGAAGAAAAAACACATCTTCAGTAGGCTGGTTGTCAAAGCCTTTTGGTCGCCATAGAAACGTAACTAAGCTATGTGATATTTTTGATAAGAAACAAGTCTCGTATGGTAAATAATTTATAAAATAAAACCGCTTACAGGTAATTGATTTGAATCGACAATTTTTATATAATAAGGCACATGTCCTCAAATGTGACTCTTACATTAATGAAAGATTTATATCAAATTATTAACAGATACCACCTGTGTACAGATGATCTATCTAAAAGTTAATTGTAAAGGTTCTTCAAAATGGGGCATTATGTTGGCAGACATTTATGTAAAAGGTCATAAAATGTCTCTGGATTCAGGGCGATAAGTTTAATGGCAAATGAAGACAGGAGAATATGACACTTAGAGGTAGGTGGGTGACTTTGTTAAGAAAAGTGTAAAAGAGAAATCTCCTTCAGTGTGTAAGGGTTAAATTCAGGTTAATAATGTTGGAGATGACTCCATTCTGGTGGTAAGTTGTGGGAAAATGTAGCTACAAAACAATAAAATAGGAAAAATGGAAAATAGTTAATAGAAAACTGCTTATTTGTTTTATGTGATTTGATGAAATGTCATTTTTTAGACTCATGCAAGTAATTTGTTATGTACATGTATAATAGCAAAGTAAATAATTTCAAGTGAAAGATCTAAATCACCTTCACTTTTCCCTCCAAGATTTTTAAATATGAGAACATTTTATCAGTTCTTAATACTAGCTTATTGTTTTCTAGTTTTTAGAACATAAAAATGATATTGATATTATATGTAGACATAGAAAGTTGTGGAATGAAATCATTTATGTATACATACATGCTAGGGTTGCCCAATATCTTGTATTTCTCTATTATGTATCCCATTTAAGTGCTGGAAGGCTCTCGTAATGTTATCTGTATGCCCACGAAGAAAGAGAATCGCAGAAAAAGGTATTAAAGTACTATAATGGTCAATCAATGTTCCACAAGTGTTTTGACTATCAATTTTCTTTTATTGGACTTTCCAAGTAATAAAATTTCTGGATTATCCTTATTGCTCAGTAAGAATAAATCGCCTTTTCTATTTATCTATGCCTGACAAGAAATTTTGGTTGCTAAGTAACCGTGACGTCTGAAATTAGTATGAACAAACAGTTTCCTGATTTTGAATCTGACAAATGCCTTGCTATTGGTGAATTACAACACAGGTAATATAATATAAAAGCTAATCTTTGTAGCCAGGAAATTGGTATAATTATAACTAAGTATTTCAAGAGACTGAATACAAATAAATAAGCTGTTAAATTCTTATTTTCTCAGGGGGATATATATTTGTCTTGAGATGACTAGTCCTAATGGTCTTTCCTGACTTAATATTTGCCTTGATCATTGCAAACTTCAGGAATTGCAAGATTGCATTGCAATAGAGAATACAATACAATAAAGATGCAGTATAGACCTAAAAGCCCCCTCTTTCCTCATAACTTCATAAGCATGTCACTTGTTCATTTTACTATCTTGAACTTTACATATATTCAATTCATTTCTTTTCTTGTTAAATACCTATTTTGCCTCAAAAATGCTTTTATTTCTAAAAAAAATAAATTTGTTTCAGCTTTTAAAGCAATACAAGCCTGCCACAAAGAGGAACTAACTTCTGCTTCTTTTGCTCTTTTTGCAATTGGTTATTAGTATTTTGAATGGAAATCAAAATACTAATTGGTTTACATTTTGCTACCATAACGACACGTTACTGCACGTTCAGCCTACATTCTTTAACTTCTTACATGCTATAAATCCATTATTACAAAACATTATGAAACACATGGTTGACATTTCTAAAAAAATTAAAATAATACGGATTTTTGACATTTAGACACTTTAGACATTTTCAGTTTGCATCTTTCTTAGAATAAACACATTTTAATAGTTACAGCAATTGGATGAAGCTTTATAAGTGAAACATAATCATTAAAAAATAAAAAAGTAAATTATTTAAGGTTTCTTAGTTATTCAGCAGTCAGTACATTATGTAGTCCAACTTCTACCAGAATCATACAACCAGAGCTAGTCACTAGCTTGCATCTAATTACCACAATATGAGCCCATTATACAACCCTCACAGCAAACAATATCAGAACATAAGCTTTCTCACGTTAAAAAGTGTCATAACAGTATAATTTCTTTTTGTTTGATGACGGTATAGATACGGAAAATTATCTTCAAGGGTTCGACCATTTCGAAACGTTCAATTATTATGGCAATGAACTCAGAACTAACAAATCGACCCCTTTATCTCTCTCTTTAACATTTCATGTTGTTTCAAAAATTGAATTTTTTTCATTTCTGGTACCTATTTAAAGCTTAATAATGTGATACTTTCAATGAAATTGAATTGTATTAAAAATAATTTAATATCACAGCTTTAGAAGACCATGTTTACTTGTGTAAATTGCTAGGGTTGAAATTATGACAATGACAGCACTGATTGACCATTTATTTCATTGAATGTATTATAAAATATCATCGGAGGTTGCCAGCTTATCCAAATACTTCGCCATTGTGACTACAAATAAAAAAGAAAAAAAATTGTCAGATAATGTTTTAATGTGCATCTTTATATAAAAGCAACACACAATATGTTTTTTTTTTCACATTTTTTAATCGAATGAATGTGTTAATGTCGATGTTCTATCACACTATTATTATGATAGCGTGGATATATATACTTATGCTTATCGTATGTGTTCGTCACTATTGTAGAGCTCACTTGGGGTGTGATGACAAAATAAATCAAAATAAAAAATACTGCTGAAATCACCAAAGAGTCTGCTTAAGTAAAAATGTGATATTTAATTTTAAAATAATTTATATTTACTCGGTACTGCGTCGACAAATATAGTAATGTGACTGGTCACACTGAGCGTCATGCCATTCTCCAGTTGGTCCTATCTGTGCACAGTTTTCGTTGCCATTTGCATCGTCCAATCCATTTGCAGCCCAATTTGAGTAGGTGGAGTTATCGATTATTTGGTGACTGTTATACCACACCCATTCTCCCTCCTTTAGAACATCAGCGGCTCCGATCCAAAAGTCATCTGTTAGAGGCACATAAAGCAAATAATGATAATGTGTAACTCGCTATATCTTTTTTTAACATACATGTAAATACGGCTTTCAGTGTTGTTATATTTTTCTGGTTCTTCAGGATCATTGATTCTAGCACTTTTAAGTGTTGAAAATTGTGTACCACTTAAGCCGGTGCTAGGGGGCGTGAGTGATATTGCTTATTTCATAATCCCTCATGTACAGACTCAATCATAAGGAGTATGTTATTTTTATATAATTTTGCTGATTTTAATGCTTCGATGACTCACTTTTTCCAGATATTCATAATATGTTTTATATATCATATCAATATATTTTTTCAGTGTTTTTAAACAGTTAAACCAATTAAATATAATTACATTCATTAGAAGAGTTATATTAAATATACATACGATTAAGGTCGGCAACAAACTTTGTGACAAATTTGTTCTGATCTTCACTTGTAATTTCACCCAGATGAGACTGATAATTATTGCACATTAGCTGCAAACATACAGTCCCAAATGAATACAACAAATACACTGAATTTAAAGAGATTTAGCTGGTTAAACAAAATCTTATGAAAAGGTCACATAGCTGTTTAAACGTGCCAACTTAACCTCATATATCATCAAATTAGTTTTGTTGCATTAGAAGAATCATCTTGAAAACATAAATGAGAGTTTCTCTGCCACTTTTTAGTAAAATCTTTGCATTAAAAGGAACATAATGAAAGGAATTTTGGACAACTGTACTAAAAGAATGTTATTTATTCCAAACAGTTAATTTTATTATACATGTTAGTCAGTGTTATACAAAAAAAGATTCTCGTTGACGGATATGTTTCTAAATATTATCGTAGCATACTCTGATACTTTGTTCCACCAAGTCTACAATAAACAAAAAAGTCATAATGTAAATACCCTTGCATTTATCCATGTTTCTGTATCTTTACTGAAAAAGAAGCAATAATTCCCAATGTGTTTCCAGTTAGAAGGGCAATCTGAATCTGAAATTAAAGTAATAATAAAATGAACAGTGTAGAAATAAAAGCTACAAAAAAATCTTATTCTTTTAGTGTAACTTCCGAATTCCGGAACTTCTGAAATCCGGAAACTTCTAAAAACCGAACAATTTTTTCGGTCCCGATTTTTTCCCTTCTAATTTCTATTAATATAATACTTCTGAATTCCGGAACTTCTAAATTCTGAATTCCGGACGATATTTTCGTAAAATTAGAGTCAAATCAATGCAATTTTACCTCCAAAATCCGGAAATATCCAAAGGTGTGAAATACATTGTAAATCGAGAATGTTTACCCTGCAGGAAGATTTAATCTCCCTATCGATTGTTTACTTTTTAGCGGTGATCGTGTAATTTGACACGCGTTAAAATCACAAACTGTGAAATGGTATGTTTGAAGTGATGCGATTAATTAAAGTAATTTATGGGGGATAGTTAATTTGAAGTGTTTATTAGCGGATTAAATGACAATTAATTGGGACAATGTATGCATCGAACGTCTTTAGGGATTTTATTGCATTTGTTGTACTAATGAATTAACTAGCATCGGACAATATGTAAGTTTATGCAATTAACAACATTTCTACAAACTGATAGAAATTCAAAGGCATTTGGAAGTAAGATAAAAATGAGCAAACTTTAATTGATTAAAATGAAGACAGAACAATCTTTAAATAATGGTCTTTTTAGAAATTTGCATTATTATTAAGTATTAAATAAAGTGTCAAATATAAATGTTTTCTTTTCCTTCACATCTTTATCTTGATTAAAAGAGTATTATATATGATATTACAGTAATGGCTACATTTTTCTTGACATTCAGTGACATCTAGTGGCTTAGTCTTGTCCACATTATCCTAAACCTCTGAATTCCGGAAACCTCTGAAATCCGAACTTTTTGACAAGTCCCATGGGTGTTCGGTTTTCAGAAGTTACACTGTATACTAAAAGACACTTAGTTTAAACATATTTATTTCAATATTTTACATATATTACATTTTATATGTGAATAATTGTTACATAAATTGAAAGGGATTAGAACGAAAGAAAACTTATATAGTTCCTCTCCCTAGATAACAAATGCTATTTACACAAACATATATGGCAGGATAGCTATTTCATTTAAATTATTAAGTAAGAATATTGCAAGATTTAGTTTAAACATAAACAATGAAAAAAAAATGAAAAAGAAATTAGGAATGCAACTTAATAAGACAATTTTCAGATGAGTACTAAGCAAAAGAAAACAGACAAAAATAAGTATTTTTTTTTATTTAGACTGGCGCTTAAAGCAAATTTAGCAAATGTCTAGAAATTAACTTTTTTAAGCTAACCAGACAAATATTATGTGTATATTAAATATATATATCAAAAGAAGACAAAATATTGGAAAAACAGACTAACGAACAGAGGTCAAATTTGGAGATATTGCAGTATATTAAATGTTGGTAAGTATAAAATACATCAAGTGGAAACGTCCGCTGCTATTTATAAATTCAAATACTGCATCTAATATCCATGTGTGTTTGTTTGATAATCATTTGACGGATCTCCATATAGAAGGGTTCGAAGATCAATGGAACATATTGGAGTCAAAGTTTGAAAAAGTGCATTTCTTTATTTGTGTGTAATTCTTGCAAGTAAAGAAGAAGTGGTGGTTGTCTTCAATTAGGTCCACAACTACATAATCGGAGATGATACTATATTTTTTAAGAACAAGTGGTGATTAAGAGAAGCTGCATTTCGTTCTAAGTCTTGTATGAAGAATTTTGTGACCGTCTATCTCCATAATAGAAGTGTCGGGGAGTTTTTTAATTTTGTCTTCGTTCAAAGAGTTTTGGGAAAAGAATTCAATGACTGTAGCTGAACGGGTTTCAATCGGTAAGGAATTCCATTCACGAAGTGCGGTTGGTAGAAAGGAGTTATAGTATAGAGTTGTTCTTGTACGAATTGTATCGATATTTTGAGAATTACGTAAGTTAAATGTAGTATTCGGGCCAACAAGATCTGGTACAATAGACGATAGATAGGATGGAGTGAGACAAATTTTTTTCATTTTGTAAAGTTGAATCAAGCTTATGCTTCCTTCTTCTGTCAGAAAGTGATTCCAATTTACATCATTGTATAAATCAGCTAACGATAATCAGCTTTGTTTTTTTGCACCCGTCACAATACGTGCTGCTTCATTTTGAATTTTGTCTAATTCTTGTTTTTCGTATGATGTACAATTGTCCCATATTATATCAGCATATTCAATAAATAGGACGAAATGAAGGATGTATATATGATTTCTAGAGACCTTCGGTCTAGTTTGAATTTAAAGTTTACGCATTATGTTTATTCTATTCTATGCCTTTTCTTTTATATAATTGATATGGGAATGCCAAGAGCAATCATCAGAAAAAAACACTCCTAGATGTTTGTGATCAGAAACTTGAGGGAGTTTTTTGAGGGATTTGTTGGCCATACATTTGGAGAAAGGTGTGTGATGTGGGTTTATTAGTTCTTCTTGATATAATCATTGACTCGGATTTAGATGGATTAAAATTAACTAGCCATTTATCAGCCCAAAGACAAATCTTTTGTATGTCTTTCTGCATTGTATCATGTGTTTCAGAAGGTGTTTTCAACTATCAGATGGAGACTAGTGTCATCTGCAAAAAGATTGATGTTGGACCCAATATCTTGAACAATATCGTTGATATATAAAAGAAAATAGAAGAGGCCCCAAGTATTGATCCTTGGGGGACTCCAGATGCAATTGTAACACAGTCCGACATGGTACCAGGAAGAACAACTTGTTGTCTACGATTTGTTAAGTAATCAGAAAGCCATTGGTGTACATTTCCACGAATTCAGATTCATGAAGTTTCACTAACAAACCTTGGTGCCAAACTTTATCAAATGCCTTTACTAATATAAAAAAATACGACGCCTCACCTCCCAAGGCCATCATCTTTAAAAGCCTTGCAAAAATTATTTGTAAAGATACGCAAGTTGGTTTCAGTTGAGTCCCCTGGCAAGAACCCGACTGAATGGAGTGAAAAATGAAATGTCTCTGTAAAAAGTTAAAGAAACATATGTTTAAAGACTTACTCGTTCAAATACTTTTTCAATAAGTGTTGAGTAAAGATATAGGTTATAAATTGTTTACAACAGCAGGAATCCGCCTTTCTTATATTACAGCACAGACATTTGACAACCTTCCAGGAATGTAGGCATTTTCTTGGATCCTTAGTGGAAGTTAAAGAGCTGGTGAAAGGGATGAGAAGTTGTTGGAAAGGCCTCATGTAAAACTCGATAACTGATAGTGTCAGGTCAGATGCTTTAATCGGTTTTTTAAAGATTTCAGTAATCCTCCATTTCAGAAGGAGATATATAAATGCGTTTCCAAGGTCTGTTGATTGTCTATGTCTGAGGGTCTGGCGGGATCCTGTTAGAGTGCGTCAACCATTGTCTGGTTCTTGAAAAAAAGTGTTTAGTAATTAGGCCCTTTTCACGTTCTTCAGATACAATGGAATTAGTAATTGGATCAAATAAGAGAAGGAATAGCCTTTTTTTGTTGAATATGATATAAAGGATTTGAGGATTTTCCACCAATCTTTTGATGATATGGAAGTTGATTTAAGATTGTCAGACAATGAAAGAAAGTAACGAGATTTGCTGTCTTTGACTAGCTGAACTGCTTCATTTCTGAGTTTCCGAAATTTTAACCAATGATGTTAAAATTGATTAGAGATAGATAGCTAACATCCACGGTCTGACACAAAATTTCCTAACAGTCCTAACAACGTAAAGTAGTTCTCACTCAAAACTGCTTAAAAACCAGCAATTTAAAAGAAAGAATAATTTTTAATGTAGGCATTTAACGAATTACAGTTGCATTAAAAGTTTAGATTAGTCAATAGAAATATGAGGTTACAATCACAAAATTTCGCGGATGAATATCTTTTTTACCCAATGAAAAATGTTCGGCTATTTCCGTAAAGCTTCGGATTATCATGAAATATCATTTAATCAATGAAAATGCTATTTTAGCTATGCCGATTACCGAATACCTCCAGAGCGTAGTACACAAATAAATCGACTGTCGAAGTAGTGGAATATATACATGTCGGACTGTTTTGGCGAGAAAGATTTTTCGATAAATTAATTTTCATTCTGTGTTAAACAACACGTTTATCGTGAACAAAATACCTCGAAATTAATAAAGGATTACAAAACACGAAATGGAAATTCTCAATTTAGAATTACATAATGTATTCGTTTTTTATTCAAGGTTCATATTATAACTTCGCCGTGGTGCAGAGGTAAGCGGTCTCGTTGAGGGTGTGAGAGGCCTATGGTTCAAATTCTAGTCGAGGCAATTCTATTTTTTTTCATGCAAAATTCCATATGTAAATCTCAAACTGTTATAGAAGAAAATCAAAACGCTGTCGCTGCGTAAGATGAATAATAGTATATAAAAATAAACTTATACAGGAAAGTACATACAGATAGTCAGTATGATTTAGATTGCAAAGATCAGAAAATACCATAGAGATTATATAAATGAATGTAATAACACGCAAGGATTCAGTATAGAGTAATGCATGTTCTACTTGCCACATGGTATACAGCATACCTACACATTTGTACCCATATTTACAAATCTAATCTATACATGTGTTAAATAAGTTTATATACAACTAGTCGGAGAAAATATTTACATGAAGTAAACATTCAAGCGTATATTAAATAACTTACAGTGTGTAATTAAATCTAAATAATCACAGAGCCCGCATCAAATACCGCATCAAATATGCATGTGCAACTATATCTGTATGGTATAATTCTTAAAATTATTTAATTTCTCTTTCTGCAGACTAAACCAAAAACAAAATTATCATCCTTAATTTTCGCGTTCTTTACTCTAGTTTGTCTTATTAATAATAGTATAGATTAATCAAAAATCAATTTAATCAATTTTGCAAATGCTTGAAAAGAATAGACTGTATAAATTAGTCAGTATCATACATATCAGTTAGTTAAACAGCGTGCATATGTACTACATTAAATTTTACAAAAATCAGCATTCAATTCATACAGGTACTATATATGACAATTTACGTTAATTCATCATATTTATCATTTAAATATTTGCTTAATATACCCCACAATGTAAGAAAGAAAACACATCTTGATACAATTCAATATTCAGTAACTTATTATAAGAAAAGAAATCATGTATAATTTCTCTTTGATAGTACTATTTATATTTATATATATAAAAAACAATTGATACATGTATATACCGGAGTTTTTATAATGTAATTCATTTACAATTTTATCAAACGTCATTTGTAGAAAACTTATTTTAGTTCAATAAATAAAAAAATAAGTTTCACGTGTTATTGTGCATAGCATAAGAAAATCAAAACAGGAATTGATTATCAAACCAGTATAAGCCGTACAAGTCACAGGTCACTATATAGGTTTTATTTTATACCGTTACTTAGTCGAGACTAAGTGGAATGTTATCTTGTATACAAATCGTCAAGAAAAACCGTTCACCATATACTAAGAGGTAATATATGAAAATTACACTGCGCGCAGAAAGTAACGTGTGACCAACGAAACAGGTCAACTCTTATTCAAATCACTTGTCAATAGGACGCCACAACCCACCACTAGTATTTTTCAAAAAATCTTCAGATAATCTTCCTTGTTGATACGACGCAAATTTTTAGCTTTATCTCTAATCAATATTGTGCCATCGTGAGACCATGCACTTTCTGCTGAGCCCCTTTTAATTATTTGTCTAGCCTGGTAAAGTAAGTTTTGATCTTGCCCTGGTTAGATCTTCATTTATAAAGATTCCCTTTCATATCATTATCCTTACATTTCACGCGAGATTTGAATAAGTTATTTCTGGCATGATATTGGTAAATTTCACAAATATATCGCGTTTGTTCTTGGTCTGTTTTAGGACCAACACGGTGCTTTGTGATCGGTCTATCTCGTTGATTGATAATTTCAGACCTAATTTGCTGGCAATGTTTAGGACTTTCGAATCGGTGTCTTCATCATCAGATTCCACTATCCCGGAAATGCGTAGGTTATTCCTTTCTGCCCTATATTGTTCGGCTGATCTAATTTAGCCTCTAGGACCCCAACTTTTCATTTAATTTTTTCTATTATTAGTTTCAAGATCTTTCTATTTGCTTGTTAAAGCTGGGGATACAATACCATCAATGACACGATTTGGTGAATTCATCGAAACTTTTATCTAAAATTTCTATGGGTGATGTCTCTTATTTCATATTTTCAATGAGTTTTTTTAACTGTTTCAGCTATATATAAGAGGTCCTCTTTTGCCAAAATCGATTTTGATTTTTCTGATGGATTTGCCCATTATGGATAAGCTTTCGTCAACTGTTTCTAAATTGTCAATTTGTTTATGCTTTTTTGAACTCTAAGAGATCAATTGGAGAAGAAACTGGACGTTTTTTTACTTGATGATGTTAAAGGTGTAAGCTCAATGGTTTTATCTTCTGACATTATAAGTACATTGTAACATAGTCCGCGTTTTTGGTGGTTCACGCTTTTTTTTTTTGGTTGTGTAGTATAGATCGATTTTAAATCAGCGGTTATACAGCAAATATTCAGCGAATATCACGATTCAACATCGTAAATAATAACAACTTTGTAGATAACCAACTTTTTCAAAAATTCATTTGTGCCACCTGTAATGCCTTTCAAACATTCTGGCTACATCACACAGTCGAACTTTAACTTAGAAAGTCACATTCTTTAAAGTTTTTTGAGAGCGATGTTTGTTATGACCGCCCTTAATTGATCACCGGAAGTTGAATAGTATGTACATTTAAGCTTTGACATGATTGTCGTAGTAGCACTACAATCACATTGCCTTACATTAAATAATGAGTTTAAATGAGATGCTAACTCAGCATGGCATTCTTTCTGCCTTAAATGTAAATATGTAATATACTAGTATATGTTGAAAAGGCATTCAGCACGACGAGTGATTCAGCGCTCATTTTTAGGATAAGCCAAGGTGTTATTTCCTATTATGTATCATTACAGTTATTACTAGTATCCCGTTCGTACTTTGCCATGTGCCTTTTACTGTTTTTGCTTGGTGTCCTGCTGGTCTCCTTTCCGCTAGTCCTGTGTTGCTGGACCGTGTGGGGGTTGCGTTCATTGAATGCCGCCCTTCCTTGTTGATCTTGTTTTTCATATTTTAAGCATTTTTGTAAAAGCAATATGCAACTTTAAGCACGCTCACATTTTTAATCTACCATTTATTACATGCGTCCGTATATAGTATGCGGCATTCACACATATGTTGTTGTTATTTACTGCGCTCCGAAATATGCACGACGCTAGTTACAGTTACAAGAAATGAAGAAATGAAAACGACACTCATCCAATCTAATGTTAAGGATCTAGAATGGCTAAAGTACAATATTGCTAATATCTAAATGAGCCGCGTCACGACAAAACCAACATAATGGGTTTGCGACCAGCATGAATCCAGACCAGCCTGCACATCCGCGCAGTCTGATCAGGGTCCATGCTGTTCGCTTACCAACCCTATTACAAGTAGAAAAACTGATAGCGAACAGCATGGATCCTGATCAGACTGCGCGGATGTGCGGATTATGTTGGTTTTATCATGGCGCGGCTCAAATATCTTTCAATCTTCTATTGCCATTTCGCCATTCGATACAAATCAGTCAATGCTGTGCTTAACATCGTGCCAACTTCTGATCTCATCTTGTAATTTGATATAAAGTAAATGCTTTTCTTGATATTGTGCCAACTTTTTATGTCATTTTGTCGTTCGATATAGAGCACGAAATAATGTGTTGATCACCGTACGGCATGCGATACAGACTAGTCAATGCGCATGCTTTGCTCAATATTGCACAAGCTTGCAATGTCAGACTCGTTATTTGTTATAGAGCACTTTATAATGTGCTAAATATTAAACCAGGAACTTTCAATGTAATCTCGTCATTCAATAAAACACAAATATTTGTGCTGACTTCAATTTCATTTAGCAAAACAGAGCAAAAATAGTGCAGAAGGCTACAGTAACAATCAGATGACTTGTGTTGAATATTAATGAATAAGTTTGAAAAAACTGTTTGTAAAGGCAAATTTTATACTAATTGTTTTTGTCGATACCGGTGCCGAATTTCCAATTCAAAATGATACCCCCGAGTTTCTTAAAATACTTCTGCTTTACCCTAAACATATTGTCATCACTCCGGTTATATAACTTTTGCTCTCTTTTTTAGAAAATATTGTATAAATAAGATGTTTAAAGTTTGGAATTAACATGTTATCAGTTTTTTAACAATATAAACAAAATAGATAACAATATAAAAGGAAACTTACCAACAAGCACAAAAAGGAGAACTAAACTGGCACACAGCCGTTGAATAGCCATCTTACACGTAGGATGTGTCAAAATTATCAACGTTTCCTTTTATTAGGGGAGCTGACGTTAGTGAAATAGATAAATAAGTATGAGTAAAGAGAGAAGTTAACTGTTTGGTTTCAGTTCCACATTTGTTTTCACTTTCTTCCTAATCTAACATTGCCACTACATCATGTTTAAGTAAGATTAAGTCTGTAATGAATTAATAAGTATTTACGTCATTGTCGCAACGGCATGTCAATCAGTCTTTCTTAAACAAAACAACTGTTTACTTTGAATATGGTCTCGATTGTGACCGATATCAAGGAGCCTTGGAGGAGTCAGCAATGTCATGTATCAAATAAAAGGGAAAGTTGCTAATGTCAAACTTGGTTGTCAATTCCCTTAGCTATTTGTTACAATTAACCTTTAAAATCAAATTTAATATGTGACATTTCTGGTGATATGATACGGTTTTGCAACCTTTTTAGCACATTTTAACTTCATGTGATTTGTTATTTGATCATACCTTCGCTACATTTTTTCAACTTTTGAAATCTTCACTTTCATGTATCTTATGCGAGATATTTTTTTAAACCGTGCATTATGTGGCTAAATAAATGCTAAGCTATCTCACATGCAAATTAAATCGCTAACTTCTTCTGTTTCAAAAATTTCCAATGGCTTTTGAAAACCAAACAATAATTAATGTTATATTTAAACTTAACACTTTACTTATCATTTCATGACGACATTTGCTCCTGAATGAGATATTTTTGCATTTGCAAACAATTGTGTCACTGCATTATCTTTCTGTATGCATTCGATCAACATGTCAAAAGGTGTTTATCGCTAGTTTTTCACCTGAACCTTATAGCATTAAAAAGGGAATGTTTTTTACTCTTATTATTATGCCCCCACTTCAAAGAAGAGGGGGTATATTGCTTTGCACTTGTCGGTCCGTCGGTCCGTTGGTCCGTCGGTCCGTTGGTCTGTCGGTCCGTAGACCAAATGGTTTCCGAGTGATAACTAAAGAACGCTTAGGCCTAGGAACTTCAAACTTGGTATGGTGATTTGTCATGACCAGCAGATGACCCCTATGGATTTTGGGGTCAAGGGGTCAAAGATCAAGGTCACATTGACCTTGTCAGTAAAAAACGGTTTCGCATCAATAACTAAAGAAACGCTTAGGCCTAGGAACTTCAAACATGGTATGGCGGATTGGTCATGACCAGCAGATGACCCCTATTGATTTTTAAGGTCAAGGGGTCAAAGGTCAAAGTCACATTTGACCTTGTAGGTAAAAACGGTTTCCAATCAATAACTAAAGGAATGCTTAGGCCTAGGAACTTTAAACTTGGTATGGTGATTGGTCATGACCAGTAGAAGACCCCTTTTTGATTTTGGGCGTCAAAGGGTCAAAGTTCAAGGTCACATTGACGTTGTAGGTAAAAACCGTTTCCGATCAATAACTAAAGATGCTTAGGCCTAGGAATTTCAAACTTGGTATGGTGATTGGTTATGGACCGAGCAGATGACCCCTAATTGATTTTTGGGTCAAGGGGTCGGTCAAGGTCACATTGGCCTTGTACGTAAAAAATGGTTTTCCGATCAATAACTAAAGAACGCTTAGGCCTAGGAACTTCAAAAACTTGGGTAATAAAAGGTGATTGGTCATGACCAGCCGATGATCTCTATTGATTTTTGGGGTCAAGGGTCAAAAGGTCAAGGTCACATTGACCTCGTAGGTAAAAAACAATTTCCGATCAATAACAATAAAGAACGCTAATAGGGCCTTAGGAACTTCAAAACTTGGTAATGGTGATTGGTCATGACCAAGCAGATAACCCCTAAATTTTGATTTTTGGGTCAAGGGGTAAAAAAGGTCAAAGGATCACATTACCTTGTAGGTGAAAAATATTTTTCCGATTAATACTTAAAGAATGCTTAAGCCAAGGAACTTCAAAAACCGTGGTTTATGGTGATTGCAAAAAACCATGACCAGGAAAAAAAAAAAAAAAAAAAAAATAAAAAGATGATCCCTTATTTGATTTTTTTGGGGTCAAGGGTCAAAGGTCAAGGTCACATTGACCTTGTAGGTAAAAAAGGTTTCTGAATCAATTAACTAAAGAACCCTTAGGCCTAGGAACTTCAAACTTGCGGGTATGGTGATTGGTCATGACCAGCAGACAACCCCTATTGATTTAAGGGTCAAGGGGTCATAGGTCAAGGTCACATTGACCTTGTAGGTAAAAATGGTTTCCGATCAATAACTAAAGAATACTTAGGCCTAGGAACTTCAAACTTGGTATGGTGATTGGTTATGACCAGCAGATGACCCCTATTGATTTTGGGGTCAAGGGGTCAAAGGTCAAGGTCACATTGGCCTTGTAGGTAAACACTATTTCCGATCAATAACTAAAGAACCCTTAGGCCTAGGAACTTCAAACTTGGTATGGTGATTGGTCATGACCAGCAGATGACCTCAATTGATTTAGGGGTCAAAGGTCAGGGTCACATTTACCTTTAGGTGAAAACAGTTTCCAATCAATAACTTAAGAACGCTTAGGCCTAGAATCTTCAAACTTGGTATGATGATTGGTCATGACCAGCAGATGACCCCTATTGATTTTGGGATCAAGGGTCAAAGGTCAAGGTCACGTTGACCTTGTAGGTAAAAACGGTTTCTGATCAATAACTAAAGAATGCATAGGCATAGGAACTTTAAACTTGGTATGATGATTGGTCATGACCAGTAGATGACCCCTATTGATTTTGGGGTCAAGGGGTCAATGTCATATTGACCTTGTACATAATGACTGTTTGTGACCAATAACTCAACAACTCAAGTTGCATTGGTTGATATTTTTTTATATTAAACTAAAAATGCTTTTGGTATACACATTTGAAGGTCTTATGTAATATAACAACTTGGCTGTCATTAATGAGGCCTACATGATTCATAAAATTTATGCATATGTTATTTGTAAGATTTGTAATAACTTAAATTGCTGCACACAACCTATGGGGTCACAATAATTATTACCTTGTGACTAGTCATGACCTGTAGATACTAGATAACCCTTATTAATTGTTTGTTCACTGGGTCAGAAGTCATGCATAATAACCTGATCATATGACTAATTGGCTGCCGATAGGGGGCATACATGTTTTACAAACATATCATTTATATGTTGTTTCTAAAATAAAACTTCACTTGTTTCATTTAATTTATAACATAAAACATGTATTTTTTCGTTTTAATATGAAATTCAATTTGAATATTAATAGAGAAATTTTTCAGGGGGAATTTATCAAATACAAAAAAAGGAAAGAGATAGAAATAATATTTCGATGATTTCCGAAACTATCTGTTCTAATTTTCACAGAAAGCGCGGGTGTATGAGAAAGCTTAAAACATAAATTGCACATTAGAATTCGTAATAAAAATGTCTTTTAACTTATCTTAGGTCTCTAGTTATAATGTATTCAACTATTTAATAACAAATAACTATCATATTGTAATGGAATACTTCCCTTACAAATTATGGACGTTACAAGTTACAGGAGAACTTACTTTAATAGTAGTAATATTTACCTTCAAAAGACAATCAATGACTGTGAAATAATTCTACAAATCATTAACTGTTCTCACTTATAAATACATTAACAATTATCAAGTAGTGCTACTTTTTTAATAGATTGACTATATTCCACGAATCATAATGTAAAACTTCAATGTCAGCATTGCTGACAGTTTTTTTTAGAAAGAGTGTCACATAAGGATGGATAACTCTTGCTACAAAATGGTCAGAGGACCCTAATTTATTTCCTGATCAATATCTAATAATAATTTGGAATATTCACAGTCACTAATATGTACCATCCAGTGAATATCTACAGACATTTTTGGACAATTCAGACCGCGCTTTCTTTTGTCATTTTGTCTGTTTAAAAACGGCGGACACAGAACTTCAGAACTACTTACTTACAATTCAAACCGGTTTTATATGAATGTATATTTGTTTACATTAAATATATTACTACGCATATGAACTTTGGACCGGTTACATGTTAATATATATTTTCAAATGTTATTTCAGATATGTTTATGTGGCTTTAAGACATGAATGTATTATTTATGTTTTTTTTAGAACTTTTATTGTTTTTGCTATCTTGTTAAACATTGTTTAGACTGACCTATTCTTAATTGGTCGGAGCGCTTTATGTGGCGTCCAAAAAGTTTATAGGGGTAATTGTCGTCACTTTGTATCTTTGTACTCAAAGCTCAGAATAGCTCCAATGCTTACAGTACAGTCTTACATGATCAATCCATTCAGAGTTGTCTGAAATAGGTTACTACCTTCTAAAGTACAACTAGTGGAAAAATGGTTTATTTGAACAAAAAAGAATATCAATTTACCTTTGTGTTCGGCTTCAATCTATTAAGTACTATATAACACAACAACAACAATTTAGCTTAACGTTTTCCGATTCAATCTTTGAAGCCAAACTATATTGTCAATTGTCAGATCATTATTTTGTTTGGTACTGAAAAGCAATCCTGCCAATTGTGAATTTTTTACACATTTTTGTGAATATTTTATGTTTTTAGGCATTGTGAAGAGGCCTTATTTCGGGGTCAAAATCAACCAAGAAAAAAAAATCACTGGCGTTTGTGATTCAAGAAGCATAGTCTTTACGGTCAGTAATAATAATAATAAATATTATATTTGATTTTGCCGAAATGAAAATATTAATGTTATCTGTATAAGATGTGATTACTCTCGTAAGGATAAAAAACAGTATTCTCGTTCATGGCAACGCCGCCACTACTCAGTATTTTGTTTTAGAAATTCACTTGATGAAAGAAAATTTCATCTTACGCTAAAACAAATATCTTTGATCTTTATTCTTTCAAATACGTTTTTTCATTTATGATTTAGCTTTAAAGAAAATTGTCCAAGCATTACATTTTCCTGAATTTCACACCAATTTCATGTTTTATACAGCAAAGGAATATTTTGTCAAGCCATTAAAACGTTCTAAGTGTTTACAGTCTGGGAGAGTATTGAATTATTGTGAAAGACGGTACATATGATAGTACAGGAATAAAGCCTTGTGTCTTAT